GGGCCCTGAAAGCAAAAGTGACAGGAGCCTGCCGCCTCGCACGTGTGACTCCGTGCTCTTGGTCAGACGCTGCCTGGCTATTAAGGCGACTGGGCAGTAAATCGGTACGGGGCACCTGGAGGCAGCAGCCCTCGGCAGGGACCAAGTCACTTCCCTCCTTCACTCCCCGTGGTGCCGTTGAACCCGGCGGGGCGCAGCTCTGCACAGTCTCAGCCTGCTGGGGCAGCTGCACCTGGGGCAAGGGAGACACAGTAGCGGCCTTCGTAGGCACGGTGAGTACCAGGACTCCCGCGTCAGCCGCAGATGTTGCCGAGCCCGGCAATTCCCAGTCCCGCCCGTCGTCGCCCCAGGCGGCCCGGTGAACGGGTGAATGTAGGGCGGAGCAGACAGGGACCCGGGCGGCTGGGGCTTGGGAAAAGACTAGACGGCTAGACCTACACGCGCCTCACCGCCCTCTCTTATTTGCAGGCCATGGATGAACCGGGAATGAGCCTCCTGGACCAGTCTGTGATCAAGAAAGGTACGGAATGGCATTCAACTGCCAGGGTAGAGCCAGCCAGGTGAGAGGGTGCTGGGCCCGGGCAAACTGGCCCATTGCCTTCGCGGTTGCTATTGCCTCCTATGCGTCGCCCGGCACGGTGGCCACCGAACACTCTTTCCTGCCTAGCGGAGGTGCAGCGGAGGCCGGATGTCCGGCCTCAGGGCGGGCTCTGGGTCTCGGCGCTAGAGCCTGCCCGAGCGGGGAGTCCCGCTGTGCTCTCCCGGGCGTGGCTTTGGCCTCTCCGCGGGCAGCGGAGGGCCCTCGCCTGGATCTGCAGTTAATTTGCAGAACGAGTTAAACCACTTCCCTATTTCCTAAGAGTGGGGAATGGAAGTGATGTTCCCACAAATTTTGGTAAATGATTTCCATTTTACAGAGCTTTACCATTTTGGACCCTGGCAGGTACTTTCTGCCCCTTCTTTCTCGGCAGGGATTTGGGGGCCTTGCATCTCACATGGGGTGTTTTCTTTCAGCGGGAGCCTCCATCAGCGTTAAGGATTCGAGACCCAGTGTGTGAATATTGTGTGTTAAACTGTGTGCGCCTGGGTCAGGGCCTGCTTGCTCATGGGTGTATCTGCGAGGTCCAGTTCATATGCATGTCTGTACTTCCCTTTCTAGGTGTCAGTATTTTTTAGTGTATGTCTTTGTTGTGAGTGTATTGGGGATTCACATCTGTGTGTGAAACGAACGGACTTCACTTCTCTGTTTGGGGGCATATTTCTCTGTTTGAGGTTTTCAATGTAGGCAACAGGATCTCTGTTGTGTCCTGAAATTTGTCTTTTGGCATCTGAGGATTTCTGAGGTGTGGGAGTCCCTCCCCGTGTATTTTTAGGGGCATCTGCTTGTCTTTTTTAAATTAGTAAGTGCCAGTGTTGTGAGACCCAGCCCGAGTGGATTTTTAGGCCTGGGAATTCTGGCTGTGCCATGAAAAGGAGCAAGAAAGAGATATAGTAAGAGAAACAGAAATAGACTCCGAGGGACCTATGCCTTGGGCAGACGCTTTAGATTTGGGGTAGATGCCCAAAGGAATTTGGAGGCACGGTAGTGGCCACTCCTCCACTCCTCCTCACAGGATCTGGGAGTTGTTTTTCAAACATGTGAATTCAAGCCCAGGCTCTGTTTGCCCCCCACCTCAGGTTCTCATAGAGATGAGGAGTAGGGTTAGGGCTGGGTTACCAGGAGCTGGGAGTTGGCTGGACCACTTGGACTGTCAAGAGTGCCTCCAGAATTAGGGTGGAGGACACTGGGTATGACACATTGGACCACGCTGTGTGCCCCACCCAGGCTTTGTTGGTTTACCGGGCAGCTCCTGTCTTCACACTGATGAAAAGGAGAACTGGGTCTGCAGTCTGTAAAAGCCTGCTGCTGGGCTTGGCCCACTGTCTACTGGAAATAAGACCACCCTTGCAAGTCCCCCCTCTCCTCTGTTCCTGACTCCTGCCCAGGTTAACCTCGAGGAGCCCTAGGTTCATTGACTCCATAAAGAGCCAAGAGCCTGCATTTTGGGAAGAAGCCTAGGGACCTCTGCCCTTGGAAAGGGTAGAAGGATCTGCTGTTTCTCTGATTACCTTAACCCAGAATGCGGCATGTGAGAAAAGACTGAAATCGACCCAGCATTGGTTTCTTTGGAAGGACATTAGCTTCCCAAACTCCCAGATCTTAGATGTGCCCGGAACCCCTGAAGGCAATCCCAAGGACACAGTGAGTGTGGCTTTCACTGTCATGGGTGCTGAGAGCTGGCTCCCTGGGGCAAGTGCGGCTGCCTGCCGTCCGTGCTAGCCTGTCACACAGTGGAGCATTGTTGGAGCGCCTCGGACCTGCGCCTAAACGACTAGTCACAGCCCCAGGCGCTGGAGCAAAAGAAGAAGGAAGGGGCCAGAACCCGGGCTGTCTGCAGAAGGAATTGCCAGGTTCCTGCGCCGCAAGTGTGGCAGTCGGCTGCCAGGCAGGCCTTTGGGGAGGACAGAGGGTCGATGCCGGCGTGGTGCCGCGGTCCCCACCTAGCGGCGCCCTTTAGCTTCGAGTCCTGGCGGACTCGGCCTCGCCCCTAGCTCTTTCGGTGGCCATCGGGTTAGAGCCCTTCATCGTCCTCGGGTCCTTCAGACAACTGCACAGGAAGCCAAGGTCGTTTCTCCCAGGCCGCCTGTACCTGCCGGGAGCGGTGTAGAACCTCGCGCCTCCAGGGCATGGATTACAGAAAGTCGCCCCGGGCGATCTGAAGCGAAGGGTCCCCTTCCCCCAGCTCTTCTCAGTCGTGGCCCGAGAGGCGGCTGCGTCGCGAAGAGTCCGGGTCTCTCGTCTGCAGTAAAAACTGAGGCGGCCCCAGCCTCACCACAGTCGCGGCTTTGCTCGGTGGAGGTTAGAGGAGTTCTGGCCACGATTTCGTTGGTGGCGTCGGGGAGTGGAGCCTGGGAGCTCCCGGGGCCCAGGCCGGGGTGATACGATCTTCGGCGACTCCGCGCGCGCCCCGCCGCACACCCAGGCCGGCCTCTGACAGCCACCGCGAGGGACGGGTGATGGGAGCCCTAGGTGAGGCCCACCGAGCGGAAGAGGGGAGCCTTCCGTTTATGCGCACACTTGTCACCTCCAGTTTTGCAGCCTGGCCCAGAGCCTCAGAAAGTAGGCGGGACTGATGAGGTGGAACGAGCTGCACAGGAGTATTTTGCAGCCAAGAAGGGCAGGGTGGGGTGGGCCACAGTGACTGCACAGGACCCGATGGAGCTCGCCGGTTGAGCTGGGGGTGGGCTCCTGAGGTTGGGAGGCTTCCTAGAGGCGAGACTTTTGAACGCGGTTCAGTGGGTGTTAAATGAATAAGCGACAGGTTTCTGAGTACATTAGAAAGGGTCGAGCTGCTCACACCACACGAGGCATAGCATGGGCAAATGCCTTCTCTGCGCAAAAACTAGATAGGATGAAAATTTCGTGCGCGTTTGAGGTTGTAGGGTCACAGCTGGAGGGGAGTGGTTTAGGGTTGAGAATTGAGATCTGTCCCTCCGGAAGACAGTGAGCAGTGCCCGCTTGAGGCTGAGAATCCCCCAGGGCAGGCCCAGCAGTCCAGTCTCAGGGGGTCTCCGGGAAAAAGGCTGATGTAAACATCGACCTCTACTCCCATCTCTTTGGCTCTGAGGAAAGTTTCAAATGGAGGTAGGGAGAATGTGAGCTTCCACAGAAGTTTGCAAACAGTCTGGGGCTGAGGAGGACTGAACAGAGTAAGGTACTTGTCTCTGCGACAATATTTAAGAGAGTGCAAAAAGAAAAAAATAGTCAAGAAAAATAATGTAAAAATTTAAAAATAATGTAAAAAATCTAGGGCCAGGAATGTACTTTGGAGGCGCTGCACTTGCCTGGCAAGCACAAGGTCCTGAGTTTGATCCCCAGTACAGGAAAAAAAAAAAAAAATCTATTAGATAGCATCCAAAATTTACCTAAAACAAGCTCTAACCCTGCATTTCCTCAGGCCTTTCCTCACTTGCCTCCAGGCTACTGTCTGGCCCAGACAGCAACTAAAAGAACAGTGCTGCCCATGCAGATAGTTTGGACTTTACTCAAGGACAGTGGGATCCACAGAAGAGTGTGGAGCAGGGGAGTGAAGGATTAAGAGTGTGCATAAAACAAACCTCCTGGAAGTTGATGAGAAGGAAACATAACCAGCAGGTCCCACACAGGGTAGATGAAGGAGACTCAAGAAGGCTGGGGGGTCACTCACTGCCCCCCTGCTTGCTTTCCTCAGGGTGTATCCCTTCCCGCTCCTGGGCTTTGGACCATAGAGACCCTAAGAGTGGTCTAAGGTGGCATAATAAACAGGAGGATTCCCTGGAGGTGCTGGTTCAAAATGCAGTTTCTGAGCCCCAACTCACGGCCCTGGAACTTCTTTAAAAAAAAAAAAATTATTGGGGCCAGGGATTAGCTCAGTGATTTTGCTGCCTGCCTTGCTATCGCAAGGTTCCAGATTCGATCCCCGGCACCAAAAAACAAAACAAAAAATTTATTGAAGTAAATGTTACATACATGAAGTTCACCCCTGATAAGACTACCGTCTGATGATTTTTAGTAAATGTATAGAGTTATATGACCACTACCACAATCCATATTTCTGTCACCCCTCAAAATTCCTTCACTACCATTTGTAGTTAATCCTCATTCTCACCCCAAGCCTTAGGCAACCACTGATCTGCTTTCCTGTCTATAAATTTGCATATTCTGGGCAAGTTGTATAAATAGAATAAATATGCAGACTTTCTCTTCTAGCTTTTTTTTCCTTTTTGAGGTACTGGGGATTGAACCCAGGGCCTCACCCTATGTACCCAGCCCTTTTTAATTATTTAATTTTGAGATAAGGTGTCCCTAAATTATGAAGTTGCCCAGGCTGGGTTCAAACTTGCTATCCTCCTTCCTCAGCCTCCCAGACAGCTGTGGGTCACCACCCCAGGCTGCCTCTGGCTTCTTTTACTTAGTATATATAGTGTTTTTGAGGCTCATCCCTATTGTAACATGTATCAGTCATTTTTTTTCTTTTTATTGCTGCACAGTATTCCACAGCATGGACACAACGCACATTTTGTTTAGCCATTAGCTGGTTGATCGGCATTTGGGTTGTTTGTACTTTTTTGCTGTATGAATAATGTTGCCATGGATGTTCATATATATGTCTTTGGGTAGACGTGTGTTTTCATTGCTCTTGGAAAATTCCTAGCAGTGGAGTTGGTGGACTGTATGGTAAAATTATGTTTAATTTTTAAGAAACTTCCAAGCTATTTTCTAAAGCGCCTGTATTATTTTACTTATGATGCTTACTGCCAGCAAGGTGTGAAGGTTCCAGTTTCTGCACACCCTCACCTACACTCGGTATTCTTTTTTTAATTAATTAAAAATTTTTTTTTTTTGTATCGAGGATTGAACTCAGGTCCTTGTGCTTGTGAGGCAGGTGGCAGAACCACTGAGCTAAATCCCCGGCCCAGTATTCTTTTTTTTTTAATTATAAACACTTAGTAGTATCTCAGTATAACCTTTCTTTCTTTTTTTAAGACAGGTTCTCATTATGTAGTTCAGACTGCCCTGGGACTCACTATGTAGCCCAGTCTGGTCTTGAACTCGCTGTGATCCTCCTGCCTCAGCCTCCAGAGTTGGGATTTCAGGAGTGCACCACCATGCCCGGCTCTCTGTATAATCTTAATTTGCATTTTGCTAATGACTAACAAAGTTGGGCATTTTTCACATGCTTAATAGCCATTCATCTATGATTTTTATTCAAGTATCTGTACATGTTTTGACCATGTTCTTCCTTCCTTTTCTTTCTTTTTTTTTAAGCTTTTCAAAACTTTATTTTAACTTTCTTTCTTTATTTGAGATGAGTCTTGCTATGTAGTTCAAGCTGGGCTTGAACTTGTGGCAATTCTCCTGTCTCAGCCTCCCAAGTGCTGGGATCACAGGTGTGTGCCACCATGCCCTGCACTGACCATTTTCTAATTAGGTTATCTTATTGAGTTGTGAGAGTTTTTAAAATATGTTCTGAATATACATCCTTTATTAGATATATAATTTGCAAATATTTTCTTCCAGGCTGCGGTTCATCTTTTTAAAAAATTTTAATCTACCTACCTATCCATCTATCATCTATTTATTTTGTAATACTGGGAACTGAACCAGATCCTCAGTCTTAATTTTTTTTTTCCAGCTTCTGAGTAGCTGGGATTACAGGCATGTGCCACCATGCCTGGCCCCTTTTATTTTCTTAGTATTGTCCTTTGAGGTACAAAAGTTTTGAATTTTGATGAAGTCCAATCTATAATTATTTTCTTTTATGGATCATGCTTTTGGTGTTGTAACTAAGAACTAACTCTTTGCGGAAAGCTGTCATGAAATTTTGTCTCCTTCTACAAGGAACTGCAATTTTACCATGTTTTCTGGCAAAGTGTACTGCGCAACCTCAGATTCAGTAGCCAGATGATGGCTCCCACCTCTGGGTAGACTTGGGTGTGTGTGCCTTGTCTGGCAGGTTGAATAACGGGGCGCTCTTGTGTCAGCTCTGGGTCTCATGAGTACATGAATGGCTTCTGAGTGTGACCAAGGGGACACCATGGATAGACCCCTTCAGGAGTCACTGTGGTGGGGGTGCCCTGTGGGTGTGGGACACAAATACCAGGATCCGCTTTGCAGTCTGCTAGTTTACATCCCACCTCCGTGACAGCCCCTTTCTCGGACTGCATTCCTCTTGCCATTTTTTTTTTTCCCCTCGTACCATGGATCAAACTCAGGTCCTTGTGCTTTCAAGGCAGGGGGCAGAACCACTGAGCTAAATCCCTGGGCCCCCTCTTGCCATTTTTGAGGAAAAAGTGACAGGTTTGGGAAACAGCAGGGTCTGTTACTCATACACAGGAACACATGTTCCCATGTTATGTGTTTGGGAAGAAGATGTAAACAAAGTTCACCCTGTCCCTGTGTCCCTATGGCTATGCATTTGCATGTGGCCATACCTATGTTTGCATAAATCTGCCAGCAGCAGGAGAAAGCACTTGCAGAAAGCCCTTGAGATGGGGTTTCGCTATGTACTCCATGCTGGCCTTGAACTTGTTATGTATCCCAGGCTGGCCTTGAACTTATGGTCCTCTTGCCTCAGCTTCCTAAGTGCTGAGATTACAGGTGTGCATTACCATGTGAGGTTAGAATACCAAGTATCTTGATCGGAGTTGTTGGTGCCATCTTAAATATTGCGCGCAGGTATCTCACTGACCCTCAGTCTGGTTCTAAGCTTGCCCTGGTGTCTGAATGGAGACCCAGGGAGGACGGGCAGCTTAATCAGTTGATAACAAAAGATGAAGGCTCCTGTACCACTTCCTGCCAGTGGGACCACCGTCCTGTTTCCCACTTTGGGTCTCCAGATTGCTTTGCTCATTCACCCCATGATGGCCACCTGCGCCGAGACCCTGCCCTCAGTGCCCTCCTAGTTGGTGGGGAGACCACTGTGCGGCAGAGGAGCACAGTTCGGAACTGCGAGTAAAGGGATAAGGACGGAGAGGCCCAGGAAGCTGTGTGCAGAGGCTTATGCACAACCTGAGGCTGGGGAGGGAAGGCCCTGCTTAGTAGAATATTAGGTCAGTGTCCCGTGTAGCACACTCAGGCTGCAGTCTCCCCTACATCCACATCTCACATATGTGATCTGTTGTGCTCCCTACTTTTGAAGACTAGGGCTACTGTGGTGGGCACTAGCCATGTGTGGCTGTTGAGTACTCAAAATGGGACTTTTCCAAACAGAAATGGGCTGTAAATATAAAATGCACACTGCATTTTGAAAACCAAGTAAAAGAAATAATTTAATATACCTTATTTATTTCTATTTTATTATTGTTACTGGGAATCAAACTCAGGGCCTCTAGCTTGCCAGGCAGGTACTACACTGCTGAGCTACATTCCTGGCCCTCTCATTAATTTAAAAAATACTGATACCTTGATTATATGATTTACCTAATATAAAATATAATATTGATCATATTAATAGCACAGTATTGATTTACATTAATATAATTATATTTCTTTAATAGTATATATTAATTACAATTAATGTCACATTTTTCTTTTTCTTTTTTAAAAGTATAACTACTAAGAAGTTTACATATATGAACTTTTTTGTGCTTGAGACAGGGTCTCACTAAGCTACCCAGGTTGGCCTAGAACTCCTGATCCTCCTGCCTCAGCCTTCTGAGTGCTGGAATCACACAGGTGTGTGCCACCATGCTAAACTTGTGGCTCATGTTGTATTTGGTCAGTGTGGGTATAGAGCCCAAAGGACAAATGGGATCAGGTAAAATCATTAGACATCAGGAGCCATTATAACTGATGGTCAAGGATGTGAACTTTAGAGTCAATGGCCAGAGTTCAAGATCCATTTCCTGTCTGTGCTTGCTGTGATAATTTGATCTCTTCAAACTTTGTTTCTTCTATTTTACTTATCTATTTATTAAATGGTGCTAGGAATCGAACGCAGGGCCTCATGCATAGTAGGCAGGTGTTCTACCACTGAGCTACACCTCCAGCCTAAGTTTTTTCGTTTTGACATGAGAACCTGGATGCCAGCTCTACTCCAGCACTTACTGATAGGCACCTTCATTCTGCCCAGCTGTGGAGCTGGAATCTGCCTTTCAGGGAACTGACCAGGCACAGATGGGTTGTAAGCTACAGAGTAACTGAGTGATGCATATTTCAGGGAGATCCCTCTGGAGCAGGACAGGGGACCAGAGCAGAGGTCATGCAGACATGCAGCAGGAAGTGAGGGAGCATCTGTACATGCACAGAGAAGGGCTTCACCTGAGGCAGGTGAAGATATTAAAGCCATAACTCAGGGAGGTACAAAGGGTGTCCCTGAAGTTTCATTTGGGTGGCTGGGTGGAGAGTGAGGACGCTCAACAGGAGAGGGGAGAAATGGAGGCTTTGCCAGGATAGCAACAGGGTGAGCTTTGTTTTCTTCTTCCTCCCAAGGCCAGCACAGATTTTGGCACAGACTGCTCAGCAAATATTTTCCAAATGACAGAAAGGCAGAGAGATAACAGTACTGGTTTGCTACTGGTTCTCAGCCTACCAGCTGTGTGATCTCAGGCACACTACCTGTCTAGGCTTCAGTCTCGTCTGTAAATGGCAGTACTAAGGGCAGCTGCCTTGTGAGTTGTTCGAGAGCTCAGGGCAGACATCCGCATGACACAGCAAAGTGAGAACTCAGTAAGTGTTAGCCCCCGACTCCCCACTTGACCCCCACTCTCAACATGCACACAAGACCTTGTCTAATGAGGCTCTCACTTCCTTGAAAGAAGAGAAGGCCTGGGAGTTCATTGGAAGAGGCCAGGGCCTGAATAGTCTCCCTTCCTCATGCAGTTCAGCAGAAAGATGGAGGTTAGAAGGAGAAAAGAACTTTCTTTTAGAGCTAAGAGAATCTAGGTGAATTTTAGAAAGTTAATTTCTCTGACACCTTTCATAGATGATTAGGAGTATTTGAGGAAGGGCACTGTAGGGCTTACCTCCTTATTCCTCATCTCCTGGAGCATCCTGGAGTGGCCGGGTAGGAAGGGCGACAGGACTAGAAGCTTCCTGGGGCCATGATCTCTCTGGTCTCAAGATATGGGACTCCAAAGCCCCCCATCCACTCACTGATCTCAAGGGGTGGGATAGTGGGGATCATCAATGGGAAGGGGAGTTGGGCTTCCCTGTGACCGCCCAGACCTGCTAGGCCCTGCTGTGGTGACCTAGGAATCTGCCTTCAGCTCAGATTCTATTTCCTCTGTCCAGCTCCCTCTCAAGTGATGCCACCAAAATGACAAGGCTCTGCTAAAACTGAGTTTTAAGAGGCTCAGTGAGAGCTCATGAGTTCAAGAGCCAGACAGGTCTGGGTTCGGTGTCCACTCCTACTGAGTGGACTTGATGCATCACATTAACCTCAGTGTGCTCGCTCAGCGTACGTATGTTGTGTATAGAAAAGTATGTGTGTGACCTGTAGGTACAGAAACCTCACTTTCTCCCTTTGTAAAGCAAGGATGATAGAACATCCCTCTGAAAGGTGCTGGATCTTTCCACGTGCACAGTTGGTGAGTCATCAATGCACAGCTCCACAGCTGACTGGTGCCTGTCCTGTGGCCGACGGCTCAGTATCCCCTCTCTCTTCCCTTGCTTCTGCTCTACAGTCCCCATGCCCTCCAAAGCCAGCAGCCTCTCAGCCCTCTCGCTGGCCAAAGATGGTCTGGTTGGCGGCATCACCAACCCCAGTGAAGTCTTCTGCTCCGTGCCTGGCCGGCTCTCATTACTCAGCTCAACTTCCAAGTACAAGGTGACGGTGGGGGAGGTGCAGCGGCGACTCTCACCTCCTGAGTGCCTCAATGCCTCCCTCCTGGGCGGTGTCCTCCGCAGGTAGGAAGGCCAGCCCACAACCCCTGCACAGCACCCCACACAGAATCCCCGGTCTCTTCAGACCATCTGGAGACATCACCCCAGGCCACAGCATCTGCCTCAGTCTCTGGGAGAGCAGGGCCCAGGGACTCTGGATCAGACTGTCTGGGGAAGAAGCGTGCCATCTTCACCCCCCTCCCCAGGAAAGGGGCACGAGGACCCTCGGTCCATTCTCTATGTTAGCACAGGCCTCACTGGTTTGTGTGTTTTGGGATGGGAACCATGGTCATCCATCGTTTGTCTTCACATCCATGCGTCTGTTTCTCTCCCCGCATGTCCTTTTGCCTAGGAAGGGCATTTCTGCTTAGGGTTTTAAATTTGGGTGAGTCTGAGGATGGGGTGTCTGTTAGGGGATATGAAGGAGTATGTGTTCCCATGAGTGTGAATGTGAGTGTTATTATTTTTTTTTTTTTTCTTTTGAAGCAGGGTCACTCTGTGTAGTCCAGGCTGAACTTGAACTCACTATGTAACCCAGGATGGCCTCAAACTCATGGCGATCCTCCTGATTCAGCCTTCCAAGTGCTGGGGTTACAGGCGTGCGTACCACATCTGACCTCATGTCATTCTTAGTGGGAATGTGTAGCCTAGACTATGGCCTCAAGTGTGTGTGATTGCATGTGCATCTGCAGCTACTTATATGTATGTTTACATGTCTACATCTCTGTATGGGGTGGCATCTGTGCTGTTGTACAGTCTCTCCTTATTCCTGGTCTCTGGGTCTCTCTCTGGGATCCTGACTTGGTGTGAGGGTGTCCCTGGGCATCCAAGTCTGTGGGTCTCTATGTGCCTGTCTCCATGGGTGGGTGCCTCTGTGTCTCCATGTTCTGTCCCTCATTATTCATTCGTTTGTGTATGAGTGAGTCTGTGAGTCCCCAGATGACTGTGTGTGCCCGTGTCCCTGTCTGTGTGTTGCTCTCTGTATCTGCATCCCGCCACCTGTGCTGAGGCAGGGGAAAAGGACCCTAAGATGCTGCCCCATCCCAGACCGTCCCTGCTGTTGAGAGGACTAGGGAGAAATGGGGACTTCTGGAGCGGAGTGCTGGGGCCCCCACCCCAGTCTTGGTTGTAGAAACAGGGAGGTTGTGATCTTGCTTTTAAAAGACTCCAGATAATCTCCAAGTTAATGGGTATTGGGCAACAGGTCCTTTAGGGGATCACTTAGCCTACAGGCCTCCCTCTTTTCTTCATAGTTGGGTGTGTTTCTCTCTGTGCACGTCAAGGGCCAAGTCCAAGAATGGGGGCCGGTGCCTGAGGGAACGGCTGGAGAAGATTGGGCTCAACCTCCCAGCGGGCCGGCGGAAGGCTGCCAACGTGACATTGTTGACTTCGCTGGTGGAGGGTGAGTATATTCATGTAAGTGTTGCCGAGTCTGTGTACGTACTTTGTATATAGAAAAGTATGTGTGTAGCCAGGCCTGGTGGCACACACCTGTAATCCCAGCACTCTGGAGGCTGAGGCAGGAGGATCACTGTGAGTTTGAGACCAGCCTGGGCTACACAGTGAGTTCCAGGTCAGTCTCAACTACATAGTGAGTCCCTGTCTCAAAAACAAAACAAAACAAAAACAAAAAAGAAGAAGAAAAGTATGTGTGTGACCTGTAGGTACAGTAGGCCCTGCTGTGGATTACCATTTGAGGAGTTAACTAACCATAGCTTCAAAATATGTTTTTAAAAAATCGCATCTTTACTGAACATGTATACACTTTTTTCTTGTCATTTTGTCTTAAAGAACACACTACAACTACTGTATTTACATAGGATTTACATTCTATGAGGCATTGTAAGTAATCTAGAGATGATTGAACGTAAACAAGAGTATGTGCCATTTTGTATAGAGAGTTCAGAGCCCAGCCCTGGTAGTCCCAAGGAAATTGAGGCTGGGGAGGGAAATAAGCAGGGGCATCTCCAGAAACAGGATGGGGCAGGATGTCTGACCAGGGAGTCAGAGGTTCAAGACTGGGTCCAGGCTTAGAGACATACCTGGCAGTAATGACAGCCCTGTACCCTCCCACCCCAGGAGAGGCCGTGCACCTGGCCAGAGACTTCGGCTATGTCTGTGAGACGGAGTTCCCAGCCAAGGCAGCCGCTGAGTACCTGTGCCGACAGCACGCTGACCCTGGGGAACTGCACAGCCGCAAGAGCATGCTGCTCGCCGCCAAGTGAGTGGGGAGACGGTGCACTGGCTGTCACATGTGCACTGCACAGACAGTCATTGACCTAGGCACAGTGGTCTCATCTCACTCCTGGAGGCTCATCCAGAGCCCCCTTTTCCTTTAGCCTCCCTGTACATGCCCAAGAATCTTCACTGGGTCCCACTGCTTCCTGCAATGATTTTTTTTTGTTCGTTTGTTTGTTTTGGTATCAGGTATTGAACTCAGAACCTTGCGCTTGCAAGGCAGACAGCAGAACCACTGAGCTAAATCCCTGGCCCCTACAATGATTTTCAAACTAGATTCTGTGGAGATGCCCCAAAATCTATTTAGAACTTGTACTTCACTAAGACTTATTTTTTCAGAAAGGGTCCTTGTGTTAGTCCACTGGGGAATCTATAATAAGATTCCATAAACTTGGGTTCCATACACTGGGTAATAATTTATTTCTCAACAGTTCCAGAAGCTAGGAAATCCAACATCAAGACAGACTCAGTGTCTAGAGAGGGCCTGTTTTCTTGTATAGACAATACTTTGTTGCTGTGCCTTCACATGATAGAAGGTGCAAGGAGTCTCTCTCTGGCCTCCTTCATAAGGGCACTACCACCCTAGTGATCAAATCATTTTCCAGAGGCTCTGTCTCCACCTCCTCAGAGGAGGAGTTTTTTGCAGGGGTACTGGGGATCGTACGTACTCAGGACCTTGAGGTTGCAAGGCAGGAGGCAGAACCACTGAGCTATATCCCCAGCCCCGTTCAGTTTATTTTTTGAGTCTCTCTACACAGTTAGGCTGGTCTAGGACTACGTAACCCAGTCTGGCCTTGAACCTGCAGTACTCCTCCTGCCTCAGCTTCCCAAGGGCTAGGATTACAGGTGTGCACCACCATGCCCAGCGCCAGGGCTAGGATATCAATACATACATTTTGGAAGGACACAAATGATCATTCAGACTGTAGCAGTCTCACCGCAAAACATTACAGAGGTGAGGGAAAAGGAAGAGGGTGAGAGAGAAATTTGAAGGCTAAAGTTCAGGCTCCTTTGAGGTTCAGCAGTCTGTCCTACACAAACTCCACCCAGGCCAGATGACCTTCTGGGCTTACCCTTCTGCTTCGACTCCTTCCAGCTCCCAACCTGATGCAGCCCTTCAATAACAACTCTACCTTCCCTCAGAGGGTTTCCTTCAGTCACCCAGGCAGAAGTGGAACCAGGCTCATGGAGAAATCCGTAGGCTGCTCCTATTGTGGCTGGAGAAGCCTATGGAGGGTGGAGTCCACCTAATTTATGAATCAGCTTATTCAGCAACCACTTCCTGGGTCCTAGCCATGTCTAAGATGTTGTCCCATGGTGACACAAAGCTGAGTGACAACCAAACCAAAGCCAGTCGAGGGATGCATAAAGGAAAGGTAATGGCTGAAGACTGGAGCTGAATTCAAACCCTACCTCGGTCACCTGTCTGGAGCCAGTCTCCTCATCTGTCTGGAGATAGTAACAGTACAGATTTAGAATGAAGATTAAGTGAGATGATGCATACAGTGTACTTGGTATAATATCTAGGCCTCACTCAATGTTGCTGCTAGCTGTTACTTCAATTATGAAAGGCCGATTCTGGGCTGTTCCCTGTTAATTTAAAAGGCAAGTTTCTGGGAAGCATTGGTTGGGGTGGAAGAGAGACTCAAGGAAAGTTTTCTGGATAAAATAGATGAGTTGCACTTTGAATGTGGATGGGCTGTCCATGGGGAGAGCATTCAATAGGGTATTGGCTATTTACTTTTTTTTTTTCATTACCAGGAATCAAACTCAGGAACTTGCACTTGCCAGACAGGTGGGGCGCCACTCAGCTACATACCCAGCCCACTTTCCTTTTTTTGTGGCCCAGTTTCCTTTTTTTGTAAAGGGAATATATCATCATTTGTTGGATCAAGCAATCACATAGCTAATAAAGAATCCAGCATGTAGTAGGTCCTTTCTGGAGTCAGAGCCTTGTCCTTTAACCTCTGACCCTGTTTCCCCAACCAGGCAGATCTGCAAAGAGTTCGCAGACTTGATGGCTCAGGACCGTTCCCCACTGGGCAACAGCCGCCCAGCACTCATCCTGGAGCCCACAGTACAGAGCTGCCTGACACATTTCAGCCTCATCACCCACGGCTTTGGCGGGCCTGCCATCTGTGCTGCCCTCACTGCCTTCCAGAACTACCTGCTGGAGTCACTCAAGGGGCTGGACAAGATGTTTCTAAGCAGTGTGGGCAGCGGGCATGGTGAAACCAAGGCTTCAGAGAAGGATGCCAAGCATCGAAAATAACTACACTTCTCACCCTATCCTTAATCGGCTCCCAAACCCTGAAAAGAGCCCTTAGCTTCTGGGGTAAGCCAAGGACTAAAAGGTGGGATTGGAGTCACGCCAGAGAGAGAGAGAGAGATCATTCATCCAGCAAACCCAGTTATGGATCTGGACTGGAGTAAGGGAGGGTGGCCTTTCTGTGGCCCAGGTGTCTGTTTCACGTGTGCAGTTTTCTGACCTTTGCTGAGAAGGGCTTGGACAGGAAATTGGCGTGGGCAAAGTTGCCTCATGGGGAAAAGCCCTTGCCATTGGGGTGCCTGGGCAGCCGTGGGCACTCCTAGGGCCAAGACTTTAACTGATGGCAGGAAGGGCATAACAAATTAGAGGTGCTACTGAGGAGTTGGTGACCCTCATCCCAGAGTCTCCTATCCCCAGAAAAGGGTGCTGACAGGAGGTCCCAGTGGGCTCTTTGGACCCTTCCCACTCTTAGAGGGCAGGAGAGGCCCTCGAGGAACAAAGAAAAAGCACAAATCACTGAACTTGAATCACAGTCCTGTTGATGTCTGTCCTATTTATTTGTGTATGTTGTAATTACATTTGAAAGTTTAAAGATGTCCAGCACAACTTCTTTATCCCAAAGAGTTGGGGATTTGTTTCAGTTTTCTGCTCATGCACTGGGATGCCCACATGGACCAGAGTAGAGAGGGTGTTTTGCTCACAAAGGACTGTGGGTGGGCTGGGAGGGGTGTGTCTGGCATCCTGGGCTGTCACCAGAAGTTTGTATTGTTTCTCTTGACCCTGCAGTTGATGTCCTTCATCTCTCAATTGCTCTCTCACTCCTAATAAAACCTTTTCATTTGGATATGAAGTCTTCCTCAACCCAGGCCTGGATTTGCATCCTAACAGGGCAAGATCCCTAGGAGAGGCAAAGTAGGGGAAATAGAAGAAGGCTGGAATAAGAAGAGGCTTCTAAAGGGGAGCACAATGATAGGGGTTGTGGGCACCCCTGCGAGGGGGCACAGATGTTGGCCTGTCTACCGGGCGCGCCAGTGTGGCTATTTGTGTCAGGTGAATACTGTGTATGTGCTTTTGAGACTTGCTGTGCACGTAGGTAAATGCTTCAGTTTGGCAGTTAGGTCTGTGTGATGTGTTGTCACTGTTGGCAGATCTGTCTGTGTATCGGTGTGAATGCTGGGGCTTCTGTGTGTTCTTGTGTGTATGTGTATGCATTAGGCAAATGCTAATTCAGCTCTCTTGACTTCTTGAGGATTTCAGTCTTCAGGCATCTTTCCTAAAGGTTATCAATCTCTAGTGAATTATTAGAACATTCCCCAAAACAAACATATTCCAAGATTGCTTTTTTTTTTGGTACTGGGGATCAAACTCAGGACCTTGTGTTTGTGAGGCAGGCGACTGAATCACTGAGCTAAATCCCCAGCCCTCCTATCTTATAAAATATAAGCCTGAACCTTGAATATCTATTTCCTTAGCAATTAAAGTTTCTGAAAGATTGCTACGTGCCTGTTTCCTCACTCCCAATTCTCTTCAATCACTTTAGTTCCCACCAGTCTATTAAAATCATTCAATGACAACGTAAAACATCCGAAGGCCATTTCTGGATTTAACTGAAGAATTTGGTATGGCTGACCACTTGCCCCTTTCTGAAACACTCTGGTTCCTAACTTCTGGTTTCCTCTGAACTCGGGTTTCATTTCTATCCACCATGGCCCCTTCCCCACTTGACAAAAGAGCTGGCGCTCCCCAGGGCCTTCTCTACCCACACCAGCTCCCTCCATTTAATCCCATGCTTTACATGCTGCTAAGCCCTGAATTTCTATCTTCAGCCCAGACTGGTCTGCAACTGACCAAGTAAGACATGTGGTACTTGTGCAATGCCTGGCATATAGTATCAATAAAAGGTTGGTAAGCAAGGAAGAAGGTAGTTTCTCAAGAAGTTTTCAGTACCAGACAACTTTCCCTAAAGAAAGGACCAGATAGTTCTCATCAAGTTCTATTTTATTTTTATCCAAGTCTTAGTTTAAATATGAAAACTGGTTAGATCTATGGCCCGCTGATATCAGAAAAGGAAACATTTTAAAAAGATCCTTCTCTCTTGGGCTAGGACCTAATTTAATTTTTTTCCACAGTCTGGGGGTATAGCTCAGTGGCAGAGTTCATACCTAAGGGAGTCCAAGACCCCAGGTTCAATTCCTAGCACCTCAAACATTTTTTTCCCTCATTTTTTTTTTTTTTTTTTGAGACAAGGTCTTACTATGTAGTTGAGTCTGAACTGGAACTCACTATGTAGCTCAGGTTGGTCTCGAACTCACAGTGATCGTCCTGCCTCAGCCTCCAGAGTGCTGGGATTAGAGGTGTGCGCCACCATGCCCAGTTCCTCATAAATTTCTTTCTTACATTTTTTACATGATTAAGGCCCCTGAAGAACAGTGACCATCTGGAAAAAAAAAGATATTTGTAATTCTGTAACCTCTAAGATTATGACAAACATCATGATCACCCTAATTCTTTAAACTCCAGGAGTAACTCTTCGGTACATAAAAAAGATATCAAAAGACAAATGTGGTGGCACACAGGTTTTTTGTTTTTGTTTTCCTTTGGTACCGGGGATTGAACTCAGGTCCTTGTGCTTATAAGGCAGGCGGTGACATGACTAAACTAAATCCCCAGCCCAGCACACAGATTTGTAATCTGAGCACTTGAGAGGCTAAGGCAGGATGGTTGTGGGTTCAAGGTCAACCTGAACCTTGAATATTAAAAAAACACAACGATACCCAAACTTCCACTCCACACAGATGCCTACAAGGCAATACCCACTTTCTTGCTTGAAGGCCTAATCCCCTATCTTTGCTTTACAATAAACCCTGCCTATACCACTGCACAGCCTCCTCCAACACAGACATGCAAATTGTAATTAACTTGCCTAATGCCTTTGGTGTTACAAGAGTAGGTCTCAGATATCGGGTTTGATCCAACTCTTCCTTCATTTCTATTGCCCCCCATGGCCCCGTGCAGATGCTCTAGGCCTGGCTCCAGCAAGGGGGAAGGTTCTCTCAGCCCCTTGCACTTCAATGCTCTCCTACACCAGTATATAGTCAGGACCAACAAGGAAGCAATACAGGGTAGAGACCATGTAAGTGGTATTACAAACTCCTACAAAGTCTTAGTATTTGATTTTGTTCTTCCCCAAAGCAAAATAGCATTTTAGCTTCTGACTAGCTTAGCTGGGTTTAGCTAATGGGGGAAAGGAGAAAGTATACAGAATGGTTTACACAGCTCCTTGTTTGCAAAGAAGCTGTAAATTAAAAGCATTATGCTTTTCAAATTGTGAGAGTTTGAGTTTATATCCACAGAAAGATCTTCCCTGTTTTTTTTTTTGAAAGGATCATAGTGTTGGTGGAGAAATAAGAAAAGGGCAGTGTTTGAAAGACTTGCCTCCCTCAAGCCTCATGAAGGGAGGTGAAGGCAGGTGCAGGCCTTTCTCCTCTCAAACACATACTTGCTCATGACTCACACATAGCAGTTGAGTGAGCAGCAGACCCCTAGAAGGAATCCTAAACATGTCCCTCCCTTCACTCAAGCACTGCTGCTGCTTCTGTCAAAGGACCAAGGTGAGGACAGTGATAAGACTCTGGACTTCAGGCAGAGCAGGCTCAGCCTCAGCCTCCATTGCTCAGCTGATACCAAGAGCTTCTCAAGCCATTTCAGCCTCCTTTTCCTCCTCAGAGGCTCTGTCTGCCTGCTCTGCACCACTCAAGGCTGAGCTTCCCTACCCTGAGGCCAAACAGCTGCTCTCTTCTCCAGTCTGAGCCCTACCACCCCAAGCCTGAGAAGGAATAAATTGTTTCCCACGCATTAATCACCTGCAAGCAGATGGAAACCGATTGGAAGACCATTCTGAGCAATGTTTGGCTAGGAAGTGTTAAAGAATCACTTCATGGCTAGCGTTTTTCAAACTTCAGGAAATTGATTTAGGATACAGCTGGCATTTTTAGAAAATCCAGAATAGAAAATATCAGAGCACACAGCCTCATGACTGAACAGCGACACACACACAACTTTAAGTTGCACAAAGCAGTGATTACCCTTCCTACAGCAGGTGTTTGTACACAGGGTGAAGTTGTAAGTATATGCTGAGGCCATGTAAATTTAGTTTTATCTTGGGTTTTGAGAAGTACAGAAAAGGGAGAGGAAATTGGGGATGAGGTTGGGGAGGACTACGAGATGCCTCGTAGGATAAACCAAATAATCGGAGTTTATTGAATGAGCAATGGAAAACCATCAGAAAGTTCTGAAAAGGAATGAATGGTCAAGCTAGTATTTTAGATCACAAAGAACTAGAGGGAGAAGAAAATAAAAGTAAAATGAAGCTAAAAAAGATTGCTGAATTAGTCCAAGAAATGATGGGGATAGACTTAGGAGATTTACGTAGTAATGACAGTACTTGGTGCCCACGTGAAGACAAATGGGATAAAGAACGGCATTAATGGGCCAGGGATGAGGCTCAGAGGCACCACACCTGCCTGGCAAACACAAGGTCCTGAGTTTGATCCCCAGTACCGCAAAAAAAAAAAAAAATGGCACTAACAGTCATGCCCAAGCTGGGCAGGGTGGGATGCCTCTGTAATCCCACTACTTGGAAAGCTCAACAGGAACACAAGCTTGGGCTAAGCATGGATGGGCAATTTTGTGATTTAATAAGACCCTATCTTTAAAAAAAAGCTAGGGAATGTGGCTCAGTGCAAAGCATTAGATTGAGACCCTAGTTCTGGAAAAAAATCATGCCCACCTGAAGTGCAATATGGTTCCATGGATGGCAGCCAAGAGGATAAAAAGGGCATTAACGGGAAAACATAAAATCCGAATAAAGGCTGTTTTTCAGTGAAGACTAATGCAGCAATGTTGGCTTCTTAGACTTGACAAATGTTCCATGGTTCTATATGATGTTAACATTAGCAAAAACTGGGTGATAAGGAAACTATATTTTCCTTGCAACTTTTCTCTTAAAGTTATTCCAAAATAAAAGTTTATGCTGGGCATGTGGCATATACCTGCAATCACAACACTTGAGAGACTGAGGCAGGAGGGTTGCCATGACAGCTTGAGACTATCCTGGGCTACAAAGTGAGTCCGAGATTTGCCTTGGTTACTTAGCAAAACCTAGTCTCAAAAAATAAAAAAAGCTTATTAAATTATGCTTAGGTTGCTGGCTTAGGCACCTGGAAGCCAAGTGACTAATTCCCCAAGGTGGAACATTATAGGGAGGCCTGAAAGGGGGCAGATGGTAAGGCTCAGCTTTAGATAGGTCTGATGTCCCTAAGACTGGTTAAGGTATCTAAAGTTGATCTGGAGCTTAGCAGAGATCTTGAGTAAAGAGGGGTAAGGTGGTTTGCAGGCTTTCCTGGGACTATTCTCGGGACACAAATTCAAAGGCAGAGGTTCATTCCTGGTAAGTCCAGGATGCAAACAAATGTACTACATACTTACCAAGCACACCCCACTGCCAGGCCCTGTGCTAGATGTTTACATCTACGTCTTCACAAAATTATCATCACCACTGCCATGAATGATTAGGTAGGTTCTCTGTCATTTTCCAGATGGGAAAACATCAGGTAGGACTGCCTCTGGTCAGTCAGAAGGCGGGGAGAGGAGGAGAAAAAAAAATCTGAAGCTTTTATTTCCTCTGGGAAGGGAACCAGGTGACTAGACTGTATGCACAGGAGGTACATTTTTTACATATTTTTATACTGTTTGTGCATGTTTGTTTATTTGCTTCCAGTATTGGGGATTGAACTCAGAATCTTGAGCTTGCAAGGCAGGTGCCTG